GATTTACAAAACTGACCATATTCTTTGTGATAAATCAAGTCTCAACAAGTGACTGAAATCATTCAGAGTATGTTCTCTGGAATTAAACGCGAAATCATAGATTATTACTAAATGTTCATATATATTTATACATATATATTTCTAAAGCAATATATTTCTAGATAACCCATGGGTAAAGGGAAGCCCAATGGAAACAAGAAAGTATTTTGAACTGAATAATAAAATATATAACTAATATCATGGTTAGAGAAAAATTTATAGGTTTAATCACATAGGTTTAACTATATAGTTTTAACTATATATATAACTACATAGGTTCAACTATATTAGGAGGGGTGGCAAAAACCACATGAGCCAAGCATCCACCTCAAGATGTTAGAAAAAAGAAGAACAAATTAAGCTCAAATACAATAAAAGCCAGGAAAACAAATTAAGAATGTAAATTAACAAAATCGCAAAGATTTGATAAAGAAGATCAACACAATCAACTACCTGTTCTTTGAAAAGACTGGTTAACTTGATAAATCCCTGATGAGTGAACCTAAAAGAATAAGGAGTGAATTTTAGGGATGAAAAGGCACATATTGCTGTGTATTAAAAAATCACAAAAGGATGGTATTAACAACCTTCTGCTGATAAAGTAGAAAATGTGGATGGGATGGACAAATTCTTTTTCAAAATTCAATTTGCCAAAAAGTTGAAAGAAGTGAAATATTCAAATAGACCTAAAATTGTTACAGATACCACATTCAAAATGCAGTATTCTTGATTCTCCATCTGGATTGATTATTCTCTAGGCTGTTTTGTGAGCTGTTATGCACTAATTCTGTTTTATTTTCCCTTTCTTTTTTTCCAGAGCTTGTTCCCTGTGGTCCATAATGCATTTTGATCAAACGTATTTTCCAGTAGCCCTGAGGATGAGTACACCAGAGTGTAGCAGGTATTTGTGGTACCCTGAACACAGACATTAAGGTCACACTCAAATGCTTAATTGGTTATAAAGGAATAAAGAATTCTCTGTAGCTTTCTTTTCTTGTCATATCTTCATCTGTTTTGGTATCAGGGAAATACTTGCCTCATAGAATGAGTTGATAGCATTCTTCCTTCTCTGTTTCCTGAAAATGTTTGTATGTGATGATCACAAGCTCTGTTAATAGCCAAAATTATCTTCTACTTTCCATTTTCTCCTCTTTATTAATGTCTTGTTATTTTGTTTTGAATCAATCCCATATTCCCTTAAATCTCACGGAGAATATTAATTATAATTTTTTAAGATTTATTTATTTATCTTTGAGAGATGAGAGAGAAAGAGAGAGAAAATGTGGGGGAGGAGGGGGAGAGGGAGAGAAACTTCAAGCTGACTCCCTGCTGAGCACGGAGCCTGACATGGGGCTCAGTCTCACAACCCATGAGATCATGACCTGAGCTGAAACCAAGAGTCAGATACTCAACCGACTGAGCCACCCAGGTGCTCCTATTAATTATAATTTTTAAGGACCTCTCTTGTTTTCTCATGTGTCCTATTTTAGGGGGGACCATTTTCTTAGAATGGTTAGCTTTCGATTTTTTAAATCATTTTGATAATTTAGACATTTTTATTTTTTGCTCATATTTATAAATGAGGTTCTCTAAATTAATGAGGATTAATCCTCATTACCACTGTGAAAAGTAGCTAATATTACCTCTATGACAAATCCTATTAATCAATAGCTGATACAGTTTTTCCATTTGCCCACATTCAGAGCCTTCTTGGAGCCCAAAGAGTCTTTCATCCAGAATAGTTAGTGAGCAAGAATGAGCCTCACTGGGGCCCATGAACCAGAAGCAGTTTGGCAGATGAACAACATGGATCCTTGAGCAGCAAAATGACCTCTTCACTAGGGTCAGTGGACAGGCACACCAGGGTAAAGCCTAGCATGGATGCTTCTATCAGCTTTTCCTTGTCCAGGGCACTACACTACTAGTGCTTGCTCACTAGGGTCTGCTCTTTGGCATAGCCATATTGTCATCCTCTGCTGGAACAATCTTTAAAGTGTCAGTATCCATTTTGCAGTTGATGGGCAAGGTAGTGAAAGAGCCTTGGGAAGCCAAGGACATTAGGAATTTTACTGCTCTGCCAAGCCATCCACCTAACCTCAGTGCTTACGTTGTGGTAACTCAAACATAGCTGAGTCACTGCCCTGGCCCCAGCTGTATGGCCCACATTAGGGACTGCTAGACAAACACACTTTACTTAGCAGTCAATTCCTATGGAAGGAAGCCCGGATATGCTTCTGGCCATGAAGGGGTGCTGTTCCAGTTCCCATATAAATTTTAATATTTCAACCCCAATTAATCCCAGCTCCATTATATTTCAGTTTTACATTGCTTCCCTCAGCCCTAGCCAATTAGATCATGGCACAATGGAGTGCCAATAAATAATGTGCAAGAATTCTACATAGAAATCTGTCAAATGTTTTTGAAAGGTCTTAATAAATGAAGGGATACATCTTGTTCATCAGTGGAAAAGCTCAATATTCAGATGTCAATTCTCTAAAAATTGGCTAGTAGACTCAGCTACAATCCCAATGAAAATCCCACATGCGTGTGTGTGTGTGTGTGATAGATATGTTGAGCCTATGTTGTCTTGCTGAGGGAGCAGTATCAGCACAAGCAGAAAAGCATGAAGGAACACGGTGTGTGCAAAGATAATATAAGTAGTTTGGTTCCAGAGGGAAGTTGTAGGGATTTGGTGAAGTCAAGGCTTGGAGGGGGCTTAATTGTTTTTTTGTTTGTTTTTTCTGCATGTGATGGAAAACATTTTAAGAAGGGGTAACCAGGTCCGATTTACATTTTATAGAAATCACTTTGCCTTTCCCTTCACCTGCTCAGATCTTTACTGCAGGTGACTACATTCCCTGGGCTTCTGGTCACTGTGACTTCCAGGTAGGTTTGGCCAACAGAAGGGAGAAGTACGAGACCGGAAGTCTGGAGAAGAGAAGTCAGGGTATTCATGTGTTACCCCCGCTGTTGCACCCCCTCCCCCATTGCCTGTTGTGGGATTTGCTGAGGCAGCTGCACATCCTCCAGACTCCAGCTTTCTCCAGCCTGGCCCACCTCTCAGGTCCAATCAGGGATCACGACCTCTCGATGACCTCCTACCACAGGACACATAAATACACTTCTATTATAGTACACAGAACATTTTGTTGCAAGTCTTGTTTGATTTGCCTGATTCCTCTTGTAGTCTGTGCACTCCTTCATGGTAAGAATTAGATTTTCTTGATATTTGCTTTCTCAGTCTGCAACAAAATGACTGGCAGAAAGAAGGTACTCAATAGATATTTGATGAATCGGGTGCAAATGAATGAGGGCACGCCTGCGGTGCAGGAACAGACCTGTTGCACGGCCATTCCTCCTGGACCCATGCACATGAAAGTGATCCTTTAGTGTGGGGATTCCTGTGGAGTTGATCGATTCGTTTGTTCATCAAATATTTATCGAGCACCTGGTAGGTTTCATCACAAGTGTCCTCTTGGTTTCGAAAAAATTATTATTCCAACACAGAAAGCAGCATTATTACATTTTGGTTAGTCATTCCTGCAGATGAATGCAGAGCAGACGAAAAAGTTGTTAAGCCTGATGGCATACATGCCAGTGTGAGACTTTTGCTGTCACCCTGCGGACTTTCATGTTCCAGACCTGCTCCTCAGGATGGACCTCCTCTTATTTCATTTCAGCATAGGAAGCCTGACATGCCTTTTCATGGGCCTGGCTCAGGCAGCCACGAGCAAATGCTGCTGCAGACCAAAATATAGGCAGGGCATACACAGGTGCACATATCAGAGAAGAGATGTGATGTGTTTGGGACAGAGGACATGGGAAAGGCATGTTTGGGGACCATGGAACCTTCTAATCCTTGCTCTTGCCCAAAGGCCCTAACTCACACAGGGCTTCCTCTGCTCATTCCTCATCAAGACAAGTTCCTTTTTATCTTTTTATCCCTTTCCAAAACCTGTTCTCTGCAAGAATCTGAAACTCATGTACTTGAAGTTATCAATGACTAATAATGAGAGTTTCCTTTCCTCACTCTAAAGATGAGTTCCCATTTATCTCGTTCTTGTCCAAAACCCACTTTCAAAAGAGAATTTGAAATTTATCTACTATAAATTATAAAATAATATAAAAGCTTAAAGATTATTATTTCCCTGATGTCTTCTAGTGGGTCTTCCTATCTAAACAGTATAGAAAGACTTAGGCTAACATTGTAAGTAGTAGATTGATGACTGGGATTATGTCTTAGGCAAAATATAAAAAGACAAGTCTAACTGAGGCTCTTGAAATTATTCCAGGAAGGTGGTTATCTTCTTTATCTGCCAAGTTGGACAACAGAGGGGAAGAGGGGAAAAGGTCGGGGAGGCGAAAAGGTCAGTGCCAGAGGCACAGGTAGGGCGTAGGCTGACTAGCTGAACGTCTGAGGTCAGCGGTTAATTAAGGAGAATGAACCTGTGCAGGCAGTGTTCAGGGGGGAGAAATTACACTGAATGATGTGTGTCAGGGTCTTGGTTACATAAATATTTTTGGTGCAGGCAGCAAAAGGGGAAAAGGGAAAAGAACGGGTCTTGGTTTGTCTCTTCTGCATGAGAACATCTTTGATTTTTTTCAGCCGTTCAGACCCCCTAATAAGAGGATGGGGAGGAAAAGAGGGGGCTGCGGGCAGAGCCAAAGAAGAGAGGCTGGAGGGACTCAGAAATGCTTCCACCCGCCCGCAGGCCTATTGGAAGGAGCCTGGGCGGGCGCTGGGCGGAGCCTGTGCAGCATCCTCTAAGCGGCCGCCTCTGAGAACCATGGGAAAATCCTTCCTCCTCGGACATGGCGCCCACCTGCCCCGCGGCAGCAGCCGAGTCCGGCGCCGCGGTTCGCGGGTCCGGGCCGGAGAGCAGCTCGAGCTTCAGTCGCGGGGCGGAAGGGGGGGGCGGCGGCGGCGGCGGCGGCGGCGGTGGCGCCGCCCGGGGGCCTGGGTGTTAGAGCCGAGCGCGCCCGGGGGCCGGCAGCGGCGGGCGGCGGGCGGCGTGCAGCGGGGCGCGCCGGCCCCGGGGCGCCGCAGGCATGGTGTCCCAGGCGCTGCAGCTGCTCCGGCAGGGCGTGTGGGCCGCGCTCACCGGCGGCTGGTACCACGACCCGGAGCAGAGCGAGTTCACCAACAGCTGCCACCTCTACCTGTGGCTCTTCCTGCTTCTGCTGCCCTTGGCCCTGCATCTGGTGAGTGGGGAGGTTCGAGCCGGGGCGACGTGAGGATGGAGGGAAGACGGGAGAAAGCCACCCAAACCTGCGTGTCTGCCTCCTGGTGGAACGGCTTGGCAGTGATTCTTAAGGGGTGGGGTTAAGAAGTATAAACGTACTGTTTGTTATAAGATACATAAGTCGTGGGGGTGCAACATACAGCATGGGGAATGCCGTCTATAATATGGTATTAACTTTGTAAGGTGACAGATGGTAACTGGACTTATCGTGACGACCATTTCGCAATGTATACGAATGTCGACTGTGTTACACGCCACAAACGAATATAACACTGTATGTCAGTTACACCTCAATTTAAAAGAAAAGAGGTGAAATGAGGAAGGTCTTAAGGAATTTGGGACAGAGGGAAAGGGGGCCAGGGACTCACTGGCAGGAAAAGTAGAAAGGACTTTGGGAGCTCTGGGACTCATTAAGAATTGATGCTGGCTGTTAGGATGAGTCAGACTCTGCTTGTCGCTGGGGGATGTTGAACCTGTTTTGGAAGTGGAAAATCCTAGGCCTCCTGGCTGGTTAGCTGGGCATGATAGCCAAAATGCAAAATGCATTGTGAAAAGCAAACCTATTTCAGTTGTTGATCTTCTTGCCCCCTCCCTCTCTCCCTGTTTTGCTTTGAGAAGGCAGTTTCAATTATCAATTACTTAACTTCCAATTTCTACACCACTATGTGAAGAAATCTATAGAAAGATAGAATAATGGGAAAATCTAATGTAGTTTATGCCAAGTATTACAGTACCTAGTTGGGGCTTGACGCTTCAAGAGGGTTACCATAATTGAGTGCTTGCAGAACCACTACAGAGATAACCTTCTTGGGTAAATTAAATATACCTAATTGAAACAGTGATTAACCTTATTTGAGAAGCTGTAAAGGTAAGGTGCTCCATGTCTTATTAAACGTTGTGTGCCAAGGAATCTAATTTTGATATGTCTCTTGAAGGACTTTATTCCTAAAATGTAATTTAATCATGTTCTCCCCACCAAAAATCTTCAGTAAGTTTGCACAGCTGATCGATTCCAAGTGTGACATTAGAGGCTGTCCATGATTTGGCTCCTGTTTACTCTTTCTGGCATTTTATCCAGAGGGTCAGAATTCTGGCTCTGAAATCAGGCTTAAATTTTGGGTCCACCTCTCACCAGTTCTGGTGAACTTGGAGAATTTACATACCTTATCTTATTTTTCATTTTCTTAGCTGTAAAATGAGAAAAATAATGTTACCAGATGTACAGTGTTGTTTTGGAGCTTAAATGAGACACTTTCATCCATCTGTCTGGCTTGCCCCAGGATTGGGTTCTCAGACTTGGTTTAAATTTCTGTTTTGCTGCATAGTAGCTGTTTGGCCTGATGTTTGACCTATCTAAACCTTAGTTTTCTCAGCCTTAAAATGGATATGATCATGATCATATCACAGGAAAAGTGAGTAAATTTTCATATAAAAGGTATGGAGATACCTTCAATAAATGTAAGTTTACTTCTTCTTCTATGACCTTGTTCATTATTTTTTCCTGGCCTATAGATCTTGATGTTTTTTCTTTGTCTAGAGGGGCAGCATAACTGAGTGATGAGGAACACAAAGTTGGGTTCAGTCCTGGTTCTTCTGCTTACTAGTTATGTGAGCTTGAGCAAGCTTCAGCCTCCTGGTTTGTAAAGCAGGCATAATAGTACCTCCTTATAGGGCAAATATGAACGTTGATTGATTGATTGAATGAATGAATAGTTGATTGAATGAATGAATGAAAGTACTTCTCAGTACCTGGCACATAGCGACTGCTCAATATGAACTGGGCTTTTTTTTCCCCTCCCCTTCTCTCATCATTCACTTGCCAGAATCTCTCCATCCTTCTCTGTCTCAGCTTCCCTGATTTCCATTCAGCTAGAATTAATTTCTTTTCTCTCTTGCCCTTCTACCATTCTGTATTTACTGTTAGTACAATAGCACATTTTGAATTCTGCTTTGTACTTAGTTGTTGGAACCTGTATTTTACCTCTACTCCTAGATCGTGAGCTTTTTGAGGGCATGTGTTTTGATTTTGTTGATTCATCTTGGTTTTTCTTGTTGCATCTAGTGAAGTGCCCTGCATTTGGTTAACAGTGAGCTCATATATAATAAGCTGGTGGAAATAAAATCAACCTGCCTCTCTTCCTGTTCCATCCAGCATTATATTTTCTACCTCCTATATATTTTGAGTATTTCTGATCATGAAAGCAATATATATTCTACTTCTAATCCTACTCCTCAGCAACAACCACATTAGCATTTAATGTATATTCCTACAGATTTTTTTAGGCGTATGGGCTCATTTTTATGTAACTCCTTTTGAGATTTGATGTATAAATGTGATCAGAACCCTTAATTTCTACCTAATTATGCTTTATTGAGTAGCTTGATTTCTAACTTGTATTTGTGAATAGGAAATTGTCCTTAGTTAAGTTTCTCTTTAATGCTATTTTAAAATAATTTTTGTCTAGATCTCAAGAGTTTAGAAAGTAAAAACCCGATACCTTAAATAATGCTACTCTTACATTGGATTTTTTGGATCAAACCAGTTATGCCAAAATTTTTGTATCTTTTTGCCAGTGTGCTTTCAAGTATTACAGAATAATTTTATGGGAGTGCATTTGTCATTGCTACTTTTTAATATATCTCCCCAAAAATGCAAGTTAGCCTTTTATTTCTCTGGTTGTCTGGTCTCTGAAAGTGACTTTGGCGATAAAAGACCCTCCTTCTCCAGATGAGGGTTCTGTTCTCTAGGTCTTGATGTTTAAATATATTCTTCTGCACTTCAGTGCCTGCCTGCGATTGTTAACATCTTTTTCAGCTTGTTCCACTTAGAGGAACTTAGTCCAGAAAAGCTACCTTGCTGCTCGCTGATAGCAAGGGCTTATTTGAAGTTCTGTTATTTAAGGGGCCCTGGACTTTTCTGGTTTTTGCACAGTTTGAGTGTAAACATGTTTAATCAAGATAGTTCTACTGTAGGGAAAATCCACCTTTTAATTTAATGGGGACTTTGAGTTTGTAAATTAAAACTTTATTATTAACTATTGAGGCAAACTTATCTCTGAGCCCTAGGGTTTATGTAGGCCTGGTTGATAATGTGGAAAGTAGATTATTTATTAGCATTCATAAGCTATTTACATATTTTGGGGAAATGTTCAACTAAAAGCATTAAGACAATTTGGAAAGAGTTTTGATTTATTATCAGTGTGACTTGCTTTTGGACAAACTGAAAGATGCATTTGCCATTAGAGATACTTAAACTTTCATTTATTACACATGTTCTTGTACTAATTCTTTTGAGATAATGAATGGAAATTCATTTGGAGCTTTAGAACAGTAATACCACGGGCATGATTCTGACCCTGTGTAAGTTCTGACAGCTCTAGGCTAGTGTCAAAAGGCATCCCTGCTCGACCACCTATCAATTACTTCACTTCTGCATGCCTCAGTTTTAGCATCTGTAAAATGGGGAGTATGTGTTTCATTTTAGATATTTCGCAACTGAAATCCAGAGGGAATGGGTTACTTGCCTAAGGTCATCTAGACAAGGGGGTAAAATCTGGAATTTTAGTTGAGGTCCTGTTGTAACCAAGTTCTTGGCCTTCGCACAACACTGTGCTGCTAGACTTGGTACACGTGAGAGCATTTGAATTCCCTGAAACAGTAGGTCCACATAAAGTGGCATTCTCATTATCCCAGTGGCAGTATGAGTAACCCAAGCAGACGAAGTGTTGAGTAGTGGAAAAAATGGGGTGGAACCTTGATATTCTTCAAGACCCTTTGCAGGGCAAAATTATATTCGATTTTCACAGAGAAAGCCTGTCTTTTATCTTATGACTCTAACTTTATGTTGCCTTTCATTTTCATTTTCTTTTTTTTTTAAAGATTTTATTATTTATTTGACAGACAGAAGGGAAAGAGAGAGAGAGAGCACACAGGCAGCGGGGAGTGGGAGAGGGAGAGGCAGGCTCCTGTGCTGAGTAGGGAGCCCGATGCGGGGCTCGATCCCAGGACCCTGGGATCATGACCTGAGCTGAAGGCAGATGCTTAACCCACTAAGCCACCCAGGCGCCCCTCATTTTCTTTTATTTTAGCTACTCTTGCTCTGTTTCCAGTTCTGCTTTTTAATTTAGTGTTGGAGTCTTCCTTTGACAGGAACCACTTCATTTCCAATTGCTGTAACGATCTATCATGTGTCAGGGTAGCACTAGACACAAAGTAAGCATTCTATGTCTGCTGGCTGGTATTGTTACAACTGGTCAACCACTCTGCTATTATAGTCTGGAGCCAGTCCTCCATTCGGGTACATAATTATTTTTCCTTAGGTTTTATATTTCTTTGTACCCCTCCTTCCACTCCCACTTCTAACATCTAAAATGCCTTTGCATGAATTATGAAAAGATGTTGTGTTCAAAAAGTGACCCTTTCCTGGCTCAGGACTTGGGGACTAAACCTCAGTCACCATTTGACCCTGTCAGCTGGAGGAAGCCTTTGTGCAAAACACAACCTGCACAACCTTACATGGCAGGCCTGGCTGGGTCTGCTTGGTCATTGTCACTTTGTTACATGTACCTGACATTGCTGCTCTTCCCAAAAGGTTACCTCTCATCCTGGTCAGTCCTAGTATTTATACTCAATTTCTCCGTAAAGGCTTTTTCTGCTATTGAATCACATGGACCATACTCTCTCTCTTTTGACTCTGAGAAGCTGGTTATCTGGTCTTTCTACCTTTGGGAGCTTATTTATTCTCATCTGATCCTTTGTACTTTCCCATAACTTACTTGCATGTCTGAACTTCCTTCCTTCCACCCTTACCTGTCTCCCGCCCTCACCTGCCTCCCGCCCTCACCTGCCTCCTGCCCTCACCTGCCTCCCGCCCTCACCTGCCTGCAACAAACAGGGGTTAAAGGTGAGGCAGCCACACCTTGCAGATGCTTAAAGGCATTCTTTCCTGGCCCTGGGCCT